TAACAACAATGGGCATTATTTGTTACGAGATTATTTTTTTTGTATTTTCCTTTTTTTTTATCTTTTTATGTATTTTGTAATATAATAATAATAAAATAAATAAAAAATGGTGATTTCAGTTATATTTTTAAGTGCTTGGACTTTAATTGTAGTTAAATATCTTTGTTAAGTGACACGTGTCACGTTCTGGTAATTTTGAGATTTTTTAAAATTAAAAAATAAAAATATTTTTTTGTAAAAGAAAAAAACCGAAACAGTAGTTACCCCCCACTGGCATGCTCCCTCTCCCTTTGCCCTTCTCAATTCCCTCTTCAATAGATTGTCAGCTGCCAGCCGTGACCATCACCGCTACCATCATCGACACCGTCGTTGACCTTCGATCAAACCTTCGTTGAATTTTAAGCCACCACCCTTATCTTTTCTCGATTTCGAACGATTTTGACGTCCACAAGCCACACCGTTGTCACCATTCGAACCACCGTACAATTTTGATCGAAACCCATCCTTTTGGCGACAACAATGATGGTCAGCGACCGTTTGGGTTAGGAAGTTGAAATTGGGAATCAGGGATTTGGATTTTGGGGTTTTAGATTTAGTAATTTTTTGTCACGGTAAGGACGACAATTGATCAATGGGTGGGTGGCGATGGGTGAGTGACCGTTTGACGATGACGATGGTGGTCGAAGATTGTCGACGACTGTTGGTAATGGTGTTGAAATGAGAGATTTTAGGGTTTTTTTTTATAATTACAGTAAAAAATGGTTTTATGAAATAAATTAATTTTTTATTATTCTTTAATTAAAATAATATTTTTATTATTGAAAAATTAAAAAATTAAAAAATAGACGGCGGACACCTAAAAGTATAATTGAGAAAATGTTACACCTATTTTTAGTGAAAAATTCTTAAGCATTAAAACGTTTTCGAGACATAATTCGGGTACTTACTTTTGTATTAAGCCATTCATTTGTACTTATCATATGATGATATATCATCAAAATGAAGAGGAATGGGCACAACCTAACCACTAAGTCAAATCTATAGTAATATTTTTTATATATTTTATATTGAAAAAAAATTAAAAATGATCATGTGAGGTCTCTAACCTAGGTCAAGTGGGGAGTATGGGAGAATCTAACTCAGTAAAGCAAATCTAATAATCAATTTATAATTAAATATATATATATATATATATATATATTAAATTATAGTTATTACATTTTATACTCTAATTTTATCAATTTTAGTTACACTTTTTAAAATTTAAAATTTTAATCCTAATTCAAACTACACAAAACGTTAAATTGATGAATAAATTGTTGGAAAAAATATACAGGAGATTATTAAATTAATCTTAAATGATCATTTTAGTTGATAAATTTTTAAAAAGTTATAAAGTAATTATTAAATTTATTAAACGGTTATGAAATGCTAATTATAATATTATAATAATTATAAAATTTTTATTTTATAATAATTTTATAAAAAAATAATAATTTTTTATAATAAGTCAATACGTTAATAACTAAAATAATTGTTTGAATATGATTTAATCATCTGTAATATATTTGAACATAAATTGTTTGGCCATGAAATCCATACGAATAAACTAGCGTAGGAAACTATTCCTTTTATGTTTGTGATAGATTATCATGGTGTTGTCATATATTGAACCATATCTATGATAGGGAATAAAGCAAAATATTGTCGGCCACTGCAACCTGTTTCGCAATTTCAGTACTCAGAACGCAGCAATGACGGCTCTATGTAGTTTCTATCATAGAATTCAATTTTTTTTATGTTAATTATTTAGTTTACCGAAAGTATTTATATTTTAAAATTTTATTTATATTCGTCTTATAATTTTTTTATTATTATATATATATATATATATATATTAATCTTAAAAACTATTTTTAGATCTATTAAATCAACCTTGTTCTGGATTCACTTGCCTTAAGTTTGAAGATATAATTAATGTCGACTTCATGGATAAATCATATTATTTGTGGAGGGGATTCCATTTGCAAATGAGGGCACAACTCCAAATGATTTCTGGTGGAACCCACGGTCGGTTCCAGGCTCACCCGTGACACTTCAATTCAGATGCTCAAGCTAGAAATCTTTCATTGGCAACATGACAAGAATATGATTGAAGATTTTTTTATTGTATTTGAATGCCACAAGTTATAGGGGCAAAACAGGTTTGTTTGCAGCAAACAATGAAACAGTAATACATTGCAATTTTTTTTGCGAGGAAAATTAAAGGTGGGACGACAATAGAATTAAAATAATAAATCATCGTATTGATGGTAATAAAAATGTCAAGATGGTCGTAGACCATTTACTCCTGATTTAGACGAAAATTTATAATTGATAATTTGACGATAGTTGACTGGAGTTTAAATATTCAATCTTTATTAGGGGGGGAAAGAAGGAAGAAATGGATAGTAGATTGCATCTCTCTAGATCTTGAATCAAAGGTTTAGTTTCGATGTTAGGCAAAAGTTGACAAGTCCAATTGATACAACCAACTCAGGAACGGAGCTATGATTTTAGTTTGAGGGAGACAAAGTATAATTAACAATAAAAAATACGAGAAAAAATATAATTAATAAAAAAATGAGGGGCAAAATCAAAATAAATCAAAAGACTAAATATGTATTTATCCCTATATAATTCTTAATAATAATAAAAATTGGAGGGGGCAGTGGCCCCTTACAAGTACACAACTCCGTCTCTGAATCAACTGATAGTAGATTTTAGTTCAAACAAATCACGTGAGTTATCAGGGATCATATCAATAAATCACCACTTTTCGAGGGGTGAAAGGCTCCTAAAACCTTATATCTCGAGATATTCTCTTGGAATTTTAATTACAAAAAAGTTCTCCAAAGATTTTGATGTGCGAAGCTTAATCTTACGAAGGGGATGCAGCAGAAGATTAACACATCTAAACTTGTATAATTACATCAGATTTTACATTGTCATGCATCACAAATTTTAATGATGAATCTCAATGAGATCAATGGTATTTTCTTTTAAGGGAGAAAATTGGGAGTTCCCTCCAAACTCAAAACCATATGTTGGTATTTGAAAGAAAAGAAAACTCAATAGATGAAGGAAATTGGACATTATTTTATTTAACAATCATTCAAAATTTAAATACAATGAAATCAACTACCCATTAACAACATGTTTCTAAATTTAGGCAACACCCATGAACAACTTTCTCCTAAACTTAAGCAACACACACAAATAACAAATAAATCTAAAAATAGAAGCAATCCTAAAGCACATCAACTAACATCCTTGCTTTAGGAGTTGCAAGCACCAACTCTTGTTCTCAAAACTTCAAATTTTCTTACTGGAAGCGGTTTGGTGAAGATATCTGCAAGCTACTCCTCTGTTTTGCAATGAACCAATATAACATCACCTTCTTTTTGTACTTCTCTCAAAAAGAAAAGTTTAATGTTGAAATGCTTTGTCTTCCCATGAAACACTGGGTTGTGAGAAATTGCTATGACAACTTGATTATCAATAAAGACCTTTGTGCTTTCTTTCTATTCAAGATTGAGATTATTTAATCATTTTTTCAACCACAAAGCTTGATTAACAGTGGATGCTACAACAATAAATATTGCTTCAGTAGTGAGTTGAGTCATAATTTCTTGCTTTTTCGAGCCCGATAAAAAAACACCAAGTCTAAAACTGAAATAGTAACTCCTCATGTAATCATAAGGTGTTTGATCTTTATAAGGTTTATGACTATACCAAGCCTCATAAGGTGTTTGATCATTGATTGTTTTTGTGGGCAATCTATTTTGTAGAAAATTCGCTATATGAGCTGCTTCTGCCCATAACTTCTTGGGTAAATTCTTTTCATGCAACATACATCTAGTCATTTCTAAGATGTATTTGTTTCACCTTTCACTAACTCCATTTTGCTACGGCGAATAAGGAGTTGTCAACTGATGCTCAATGCCAGCTTGTTAACAAAATGCATTGAAATTTTATGACGTATACTCCTTGCCATTATCAGACCTCAATATTTGAATGTGCAATTCTTATGAATTTGCAGAATGCTCCTGCAACTTCTGACTTGAATTTTAAGAAGAAAATCCAACACATTCTTGTGAAATCGTCAATAAGAGTAACATAATATCGACTACTGCTAACGAAGGAGTTCTTTGAGGTCTAGAAATATTTGTTTGAATCAACTGCATTTTACAAGTGGCTCTCCGTGCAGACTTTGGAAATGACTTTATGTTTTGCTTTCAAAACCGACAAGCCTTACATGTCAATATGTGATCATCAAGTTCTGGAAGATCCATTGCCATGCTTTTGGACTTCATCGTCCTTTTATGCCACAACATTGTGAGGCTTTCTTTTGCTAGAAAAGTCAATTGCTCATCCTGCATCAGATTGAGGGAAAATCTTCTCCCTGCCATATTAACTTCAAACATTTTCTGATCTGTAGCATCATCTATCACACATGTCTTCTCCATGAATTTCACTTTGAATCCCTTCTCTACTAATTGACCAACGCTAAGAAGATTTTGATCAATATCAGGTACATAAAAGAATTCAGAAATAAACTTGGTACCTGAACAACTTGCAATGGCTACGATCCCTTTTTCTTTAATAAATTCATCGTTCCTAATTCTGACCTCCTTGGACTCGGTACTCATAAATTCTTTGAACAAATCTTTTTCATGAGTCATATGATTAGTGCAACCACTGTCAATGAGCCAATTTTCACTCGTTTCGTGATTAGTGAAACAAGTTGCAACAAAAAGTTGATCATCCTCTTCTTGATTTGCCACTTGTGGTTCATCTTGTTGCTGATTTTTATACTTGCAAATAATAGCTTCATGTTCCATCTGGTTATACTTGCTACACTTTGCATCTGGTCTTCTCCAACACTTGAAAGGTGGATGACCTTTCTTTCTGTAATGTTGGCATGGAGGATAGTCATTCTTTACTCCTGGTCTTTTATTCTAAGAATTGTTTTTGTTCCCAAATGTAGAGTTTTCTCCACTTGCAGCGTGAAACTTTTTGTTCTTTGGCCTCCGGTTCTTTTCATCATCTTGATGCTTAACCGGTAGAGCACCTTCAATGGCCCATTCTTCTCTCATTACATGCCTCTGCTCTTGTGCTTGCAAAGCACTTAAGAGTTCCACCAAAATAATATTTGACATGTTTTTCGTGTTCTCTAAAGTGGTGATGGTGCCCTCAAACCTCTCAGTTATTGTTACAAGGATTTTCTGCACAATCATTGAATATGCTAGAGACGAACCTAGCAGTCTGATTTTATTGGCTATTCTAACGAGCCTGTCAGAATACTCCTTGATTGTCTCGGTCTCCTTCATCTTTTGCAGCTCAAATTCACGTACAAGATTCAAGACTTGTATCCCGCAAATTTTTTCATTTCCCTCGTACTCAGCCCTGAGATAATCCCATATCTCATTTGCTGACTTTAGAGACATAATTCTGGTGAAAATAGTCGGTGATGTTGTTATTTTCTTTTTGTGCTCTGATCTGTGCTATGGTGGCGTTGGTCGGCAATGCAAGAATCTCATAGTCTTCTTCCACAGCTTCCCAAAGATCTACAACCTCCAGGTAAGTCTCCATGTGTACTGCCCAAACTAGATAATTATCTCCATCAAATGTAAGCTGCGCAATGAAAGAAAAATTACTTTCACCTTCTATGCTATATATAGCAAAAACTAACACAGGTCCCTCAAGGAAAAAGCTTTGTTGCCAATTGTTGGTATTTTAAAGAAAAGAAAACTCAATAGATGAAGAAAACTGAACGTTATTTTATTCAACAATCATTCAAAATTTAAATACAATGAAATCAACTATATACTACCAACATGTTCCTAAATTTAGGCAACACCCATGAGTTACTTTCTTCTATACTTAAGCAACACACAAATAACAAATAAATCTAAAAATAGAAGTAGTCCTAAAGCACATCAACTAACACCATCCCTTGGTGTTGGATTGAGATCATTAGCTCATTATTACAGTCAATTTCCTAATGTGAGCTCTATCGGAATCTTGAAATTCAAGTTCAATGTGAATGGTTTTCACTAAATTTAGAAAAGAAGCAAAAAATTAGAAAAGAAAAATGAGAAAGATGATATTCTTTAGTGACTTTTGGATTAACAAAGCTTGACAACATGCAGTCGAGATTGGAATATAGCTCAGCCTAAACAAAACAAAAAATGTAGCATATTTTTGTAATTATGTCCTTCTGAATCTGTATCCATTTTGTCTTCAGCAGTTAGCTGTTGACGTTTTGTAACTATCCTACAGAGAAATTAGATATTTTGTAAAATAAAAGGAAACCAATTAAATACTTGTACTTTTATCTGTCATTGTTTAAAAGACGATGGAAACACATTGTTTTTACATTAAATTTTGTGCCTTTGGTTCAAAAATTAGCTTGATTATGCTAAGTGTTTTCAAGGCCCCATTTTCTCCCATGGTTAGAGTTTGGGATGCTAGCGACTTAATCTTGCTGATGCTTTGGTTTGGTGTTTACTTAAAGACATACACTGTAAATCGTGTAGTTTGATTGACGTTAGGTGTCATATTTTAGAGAAGTGAGAGACATTAATCCCACGTCGAAAAGAAAAAAAATTAAGATTTTAAAAGGGTAGCGTTACACCTCTTATTAAACATGTCTTTTGGAAAGAGGATAATGACCTCATAACAAGTGATATTATAATGATCTTTTGATTATTCTAATTCATCTCAAATGCCCTAATAAGTAAGTAGATAGGATAAATAACTGTAACGATGACTTGTGATGAAAATGGCACAAGGTTGAACGCTAACATTACAAATCCAATTAGACATCTATCGAAAAGAGGATAATGACCCGTGACATTAAGACAGTAATAGTAGCATGGCAACACTCTAATCACCACCTCACGTTCACGAAAAATCTTCTGCCTCAGCCAGCTCAAATAGCAAGAAATAAATTGATTTATGGTACAAATTATTAATTAATCTTACGTAGAAAACAACCAAGTTGGCCTCTTAAAACACAATAAAACCCCTCCCTCCACCCCAAATTCCACATCCTTGAACCATACTACTCTTCAACTTCTACTTGAGTGAAGAAGCTCCCAAGGTTTGAGAGAGATGGCTTCAAAGAGATCAGCATCAGTAGCACTCTTTTTTGCACTCAACATTCTCTTCTTCTCTCTAGTCAGTGCTTGTGGTTCTTGCCCTTCCCCCAAACCAAAACCAAAGCCCACTCCCTCCCCATCTCCAGCAATAGGGAAATGCCCCAAAGATGCCCTTAAACTAGGCGTATGTGCTCAAGTGCTCGGTTTGGTCAATGCCACCGTTGGTTCACCGCCGGTAAAGCCATGCTGCTCCCTTATCCAGGGCCTTGCTGATCTTGAAGCTGCCGCTTGTCTTTGCACAGCTATCAAAGCCAACGTTTTGGGCATCAACCTTAATATCCCAGTTTCCCTCAGCTTGCTTCTCAACGTCTGCTCAAAGAAAGTTCCGTCCGGCTTCCAATGTCCATAATCACTCTTTCAAATTCCTTCTCTTCTTGCTGTTTTTCGTGGTTTTGAAGTTGTAATTAGTTTCCTTATGGATGATAGTGAACAAGTGTGTACTACTTTTATTTCTTCAAGTGTTTTTCTTTGGGTTGATTGCATCTTTAAGAAAGAGTTAAAGACTGTGTTTATTTGAACGAACCAACATTCGTTCCATCGAGAGTGGAAGCTTGTCTAAATTTATCAAATTGTCATGCTGTATACCCCTTCTCCTGAATTTTAATGGAGTCTCCTGGATTTTAATGGCAAAGGCAGCCATCTAGCATTGTTTATATATATATATATATTGAGTTGTACCTCCGCATATTTCTGCTATCACTCTTCTACTCAAGTCAAAACTTCTAAAGTTTTTATTAAGATATCCTATGACTTATTCGGAGCTAATTCCTTTATTCCTTCCATTTAAATACAATTCTTTGATACAATCACTGTTAATTCCATCACTAATTACTTATATTATATAACAAGTTGGATCTACCCACCTATCAACTTATCAATAACCATTAATTCTAAGATTGACAATAACCACCTTACTATCTGACATCAAAACTGAAAAGAGGATAAGAGACCTGACATACATTGGTCATCATGTTTTCTAATCCTTTTCTTTTGTCTCCATACTACTATCAATTGTATTTTTTTTGTCTAATCGAATCTAACCAAAAAGGATGAACTATCTAAGGGTATACGTAGCATTTATGTTAGGAAGAAGTAAACTTCTAAAATTTAAGAGGATAAATTTATAAAATTTTATGGAGGTAAAAACTGTTAAAAATTAAACGTGTTTTGTTTAATAAAAAATTAAATTCATGCCAATTTAATTAATTAAACACATAAGTTTGGTTAGTTCATAAACTTACTTCATTAAATTAAATAGGAGAGTTTAATAAAATTTAAGTTATGATGAATGTAAGTCCTATAAATACATACCGTAGTGCACATTACAAGATGTGAAAAATAAAAGAGAATCATTCTTGTAAAGGAGTAAATTCATAACTTTTATTTTCCAACAAAGTGACATCATAGCTAGATTATGGAGAAATGTTGATTTCCATTTTATTATCCTCTTCTTATGAAAGATAACTACGGTAGTTGGTCTATTCATGTGAAAGCAATTCTTGGATCACAAAGTGCTTGGATATTGTTTCTAGTGGATGTGAGGTACCTGAAGATGAAACAATCTTGAATCAAGGTCAAAAGGATACTCTAGAAAAGAATCAAAAGAAGGATCAACATGCTCTCTCGATAATCTACAATGTTTGGATGACTCGACCTTTGGAAAGGTGACCAATGCAACAACCTCAAAGGAAACACGAGATATTCTTATGAAGTCCTTTGAGGGAGAAGAGAAAATGAAGAAGATTCGTCTACAAACATTGCGAAGCGAATTTGAAGCACTTCACATGAATGAATCAGAGACCATATTTAATTTTTTTCTAGAATGCAAATTGTTGTTAAGTAATTGAAGAGGAGTGGATAAGAAATGCTCGAGATCTGAGTAATTGAAAAGATTCTCCTCTTTAAATTCAAAATTTTAGCACATTGTTGTTGCTATTGAAGAACCCAAAGACATGAAAACTATGTCCATTAAACAATTAAGCGGTTCACTGCAAGCATATGATGAGAGATTGAACAAAAGTAAAATGACTATATAGAGCAAGTCTTGCAAGTGAAGTTGTCTATTTAATCCAAGGGAGAAACAAGTGAACAAGGTGTGACAGGTCCAAGAGGCCTTGAAAGAGGATGTGGATGAAGTAAAATACGCGAACAAGAAACAAGGGGTGGTCAAAATTTATTCAATAATAATGAAAAAGACCAAAACTCATCAAGAGGTCGTGGACGTGAAAAAAGAAACTACGAGAACAAAAGGTATGAGAAATCTCATGTATAATGTCACAATTGTAAAAAAATTTAACCAAAACGCTTTAGAATGTTGAACGAGAAACGAAAAAACAAGTGAAAAAGATATCGCTTGAGAAATTTAACATGCTTGGCTGTAAGCTTGTCAACTCCCCGATGGAATGTAGAGTAAAGCTTTTAAAATTTAATAAAGAAAATAAAGTAGATCTTACAATGCATAAAAGTTTCATGGAAAGCTTAAGGTATCTAACTTCTACAGGACTTAATATTCTTTTTGCTGATGGACTTGTTTGTCACTTCATAGAAAACCATTCATCTTCCCATCGAACAACAGCAAAAAGAATATTTTATTATCCCAAAAGTACTCTTAATTATGACTTATTTTATGAATTTTACAACCCATTTGAACTTTTGAGATACTGTGATAGTGATTTTAGTGGAGATACAAATGATAAAAAAAAGCATCAACATATATGTATTTTCATGGGAGATACAAGTATCTCATGGAGTTTTAAGAAGCAATCAATTGTGGCACTTTCTAGCTGTGAAACTGACTATGCTGTTGCTACATCTCGTACTTGTCATGCTATTTTGTTACAAAAATTGTTGGCTGAAATTCAGCTCCCACAAAATAACGTTACAAAGATTTTGATTGATAATAAATTCTCTCAAGATCTCGTAAAAAATTCAGTGTTTCATGATTGAAGCAAATACATAAAGAAACGATATCACTTTATTCGTGAATGTGTTGAAAAGAAAGAAGTGCAACAGGATTACGGGAATTCTCTTGATCAGGTTGCATATATTTTTTTCAAGCAAGTTCCGTTTGTTGGGAGTTAATAAAATCAAGTTTAAGGGAATTTATAAATAAAACTTATTTTCTATAATAAAAAAATAATTGCATGCCTATTCAATTAATTAAACACAAAAGTTTGGCTAGTTCATAAACTTACTTCATTAAATAAGAGAGTTATTAATAAAGTTTAAGTTTAAGTTATGATGAATGTAACTATGTAAGTCTTATAAATACGTACTATAATGCACATTACAAGATGTGAAAAGTAAAAAAGAATCATTTCTTATAAATATTATACAATTACCTTTTTCTTTCTTCTCTTGTTTGAGTAAATTCATAACTTTTATTTTCCAATAAAAATAAATCATTAATAGAAAATATATAAAAAATTAAAATATATAATAATTTAAAATTTTTAAGAGAGGGCCCAACCCCCTTCCTCAGTTCATCTCTTGATTATAAGACAATATTTGTTTAAAATCTTTCTTAATAATCAACAATGTACACACACCACAGACATAATTACTCGAACCTAAAATCTAAAAGAAAAAAACGAACATTCCTTTCGATCACCTAGACAAATTAATAGATTTCTATCTAAAATTAACATCTATTTATTAGAAAGTGAAATTATCTTTAGTTGATTAGTTTTTTTTTTTGCTCGGCAAGATGAATAGTTAGGCTGGTCTCGCTTTTAATATGTCTTATATGTTGTAGAATTGTATTGTTGGTTATTTTTATAGCCGGTCATCATCAGGGTTGTTATTCCACCTAAGCTCAATGGTAGTATGATGGTCTGTGATACTTACCTAGGTTAGTGATATGCTCTTCAAACTCGGGTCTACTGTCTATATTGAGCATTGGTGTAGCTTGAGTGCCGTGTGTTTTGCCTTGCTGCAAAAACTTTTGAGGTGTTGTATTTGCATCTAGTTAGGAGTATTCTTTTTCTTCATTTAGGTATAGAGAGATTTTTAATAAGGCTCATAACTTAGGTTTTCTTTAATAAATTCTATCTCGTCGAGAAAAAAAAGTGAAATTATTCAAAGAAAAAAGAATGGCATCCCCATTATTTAGGGGGGAAAAATGAAATTTAGTATAATATTTTAAAGAAAAATGAAAAAAAAAATTTGCACCCCATTATTTTTAAGAAAAGAAAATTAAAATTTTGGATCCCTATTTATAAATTTCTAGATCCGCCATTGGATTCTGCTATCCATATGGGGCATGTAAGCGAGCCCAGCAAGTGAAAACGAAGGTCGGTTTACCACAAGATGTCGCTATCATTCTTAAAAATTTTCATGTCGTTTATCCTTTGGGATGGAAGCGTAAAGTAGATACGTGATGGAACACAACAGTCGGGGTCCATGGCGCACTACAACTACCGAAGCACAGGGTTGAGTCCGTGACTCGCAATTTGTGAGGGAGGGATCAACCTTTAGTTTAGGATGATCGTGTATTTATCTTAAAATATTATTTCTGATCATTTTTCCATCTACTGTTTGATACGTGTGTCAGTGGACAAAAAAGGCAAATATTTCTGTCAAGACGTTTAAGTCTAAAGATGGTGAATCCTCTAAGAAAGAGTTCGTCAATGATCAATTCATTGTTGGATTTGTGATAATTGATAAGAAATATGCATGCATGGTTTGGGTTTTACCTCTTCCTCCCGTTACAGCTTTAAGGATTTCAATCTCTCACTAAACTTTATGCGAAGAAGTACCCTAGTTTTCCTAATTCTATATATTTAATTCGTCTGGTTCTAAAGGAATTGATCTTCTCAATGATCTTCGAATAAGGAGATCAATTCCTTTTTGACATTAACCATTGAATCACTCCTATTTCACAAGAGATTAATTCTTTTCATAAAATTTTATATCTTTAGACTAGGACATGCACAAATGGTTTATTTTATCAACTACTAATAATATCTACTGTTAATGAGCACGTAAAGGCATACTTCAGACATTAAAATACCATGTTAAACATACAATTCATGTTTGCATCAATCAAAACAATACTTTAATATGCTTGTATTCAAGAATTTGTATTGTTGATATTTTTGACGTAAAGATGCATTAAGGCATAAATTAAAATATTTGGTCAATTCAACTTATCTAAGCAGATCAATATGCAATTGACATAATCATACTTCAATTGATAAGTCAAAAGAACAAAATAAATATATGACATCACTCAATTAATCATGGCATCATTCAAATATCATGCTTGAAAACATCTCAAAGCAACTCATTCTATATGTTCGTCATATTTCAACTCATTAAGCAACTCATCACCATGATTTTCTCGGATGTCCTTGCACCTTTCAACTGGCTTCCATCCCAAAAACGTAGCCGGTCCCTGTATCTGCCGTTTTCATTGAAAAATAACTTCTTTAATTTCATTCCAGTACCTTAATTTCGGAATATAATTCAGTATTTAAAGCGA